CGTGACAAGTTGGTATCAGAGCCGACCTTGGCCGTAGGACAAGCCAAATAGAAACCCTAAGAGCCAAATTGTATTTGTTTCGGGAAAAATTTGGGTTTGTTCCTTGGGTCCATGGGAAAAATCTTGATCGCTCCTTCAATTGAAATTTGTTCAAATGAGGTCAGTCTAGGGTTTTAGTAAAATTATTTGAGAATTATTTGACAGTCAGTCGGGATTTAATGGGAGGTATGCATTAGGTCTTCACTAAGGAACATGGGTTGCAAGTTATTTATGCTCTTATTATCATTGTTATTATTATTACGTATCTAATTCCTCATTATCTTATTGTAATGTATGTCAGTCTTATTTATTCGCTCTCATGCAAAAATGATCTATGCACAAAATTCTGCTCTTATTCGCTTACTTTATTTCAGTCCTTTACTGTTTATTTTATAATTGGATTTGATCATACATTGATTCTCCATCCTTTGTCTTCTATAGATGGCCGACTGTCCCCTAAAGCACCAAGGTCAGACTATGGGAGGCTTCGTTGCAGAGTTGTCCCGCATGGCGTTTGTGATTGGTTTTCCAAGGGAGCTGCAGTACACCAGCATCCACCCTCTTAGTGGCGAGTTCCCACGTCAGGTCCGCTTGGAGATTCACGGCATACACTCCTACCTGCACAACATGGAGGTGACAGCTTGTGGGGGCACATTTGAGCATGCTTGTGAGGAGGCCTCCCTCAAGATGATGGCCCATTTGAGGGAGCGGCATGACGGCACCCTGAACACCACCGCCTACCGCTTCCACCCTCGCCGCGGTTCCAGCTCCAACACCAGCACCTTCAAGTCAGCTTGGGGAGAGAACGACGTCACCTTCGGCCACATGAGTGAGGTGATGGAGGGCTACGACAAGCTGCACGCCATGCTCCACAAGGCAACCAAGAGGCTCAACGACCAGAAGCTTGTGAGGATCGCTGAGTTGCAGGATGAGAACGGTCGCCTCAAGAAGGAGGTAGCCAGGCTGCACGGATGCTCACCGCCAGGAGGAGCCCGCATCCGCACCATGCCAAGGAAGTCGACCATAGCTCCAGTGCGCATTCAGCTTGCGCCCAGGAACCCGCCACCACCTCCACCTCCAGCACCTCCCGCAGCTCCGGCGCCAGCTCCAGCTCCTGCTCCCGTGCCAGCTCCAGCATCCGCCCTCTCCTTCGTGCCAGCTTCAGCCTACAGGGGTCCAGCAGGTGGCAGTGGAGGATGGCTGCCAGCTTCTCCCAGTGGTGGTCGTGTGATCATCAGCAGTTCCAGCTCTGAGGCAGGCAGCGGCGACACCTACCAGCTATATATGCTGATTTTCTTTCTACAGAAGTATATACTGGACTCTGTATGTACTGCTTTTTTCTATGGAGTGCTAATATGCTGAATTTTTCTATGGTCGGGTATATACTGAACTTTGTTACACAAAAGTATATACTGCATTTTCCATAGATATGCTAGATTTTTTCAATAGAGCGGCACATACTGTCTTTTCTAACAACGAAAGAGTAGTAACATACTTAAAAAAAAAGAATAGTATGTATCCCCCCCCAAAAAAAAAAAAGAAAAGAACAGTATATACTCCGACAAAAAAAATCAGTATACACTACAAATTTAGAAAAATGGTATATACTATAAATCTAGAACAAGTGGTCTCTCCTAATACTCTAGAAATAACGGTATATATATACTACTAGTTTCTGCCTCTCTGCTTTCCATCTCGTATTACATGTATTGATGCGTCAAATATTTTCTTATTGATGTTGATCTAATATTTTAATATTTTCGTGTAGAACGGTCGCCATTAATTTGGAGTGAGGAAATTCAAACAAAGTACTGTGTTGAACGCCTTGAAACAGAGGAATAGGAAGGTTTGCTTGTTCTGATCAACTAGTAATGCCGAGGGAGATCGAGGTGTGACACCGTCGCCGTCCGCCAGGGAATGTCATGGGAGAGTGCGGCGAGATGTCGCCCACCTGCGCAAGGGATGGGAACGCTGCCGATGAGATTTAGTCGTCGGCGTCGGCGCCGCCGCCTGGACACTAGGGTTTTTATTTTCTACTATTTCCTTTTGATATCGGGAATGATGGATTTGTGCGATCCGTTCGGTATGGACGAGTCCATTTATTCAGGATAATTAACAATTACGGAAATTATTTCTTTCCACAAAAACCGGAACGGGTTCGTGATGCTGCGCCTGTTAGCAGGTATGGGGATACTCATCATGCAGGTTGGGATCAACGGTGGATGAGAGTAGGAGTACGTACACCTGGGAGTATAGAAGCATTTTTTTTGAAACATATATATGCATAATATATATAAACTATTGTTGACGGTCATTAGCGATCAGTTTCGACTGTCAATATTACTGAGATAGAGGAGAACTAGTTATGCTTGCATTGCATATCCATGTTAGAACAATAATATTCCACTAGTATTTGGTTCACTAACCTTTTACAGAGAATAATCATAAAGTGGAAGAGAATCGACATCGAATCAGACGATAAATCAATCGGACGATGTCGAGAATCAGACTTGTATGAATTGGCCAAGAACTCAGAATTGACACGATGAATTAGGCCAAAATTCACAAGTTTGCAATGAGCAACAGAACAGGAGGCCACCTGCCGAGTTTGGGCCAGGTGGGCCCAGCCCATGGTTTGGCCGAACCTGCCATGGTGCCGATGGATGCAGGGTTTGATGGACGGCTGGGATTGATCCCCAATGTCGGTTGGAGGGTATTACCGACCATTCCAACCGTCATAATCGTCATTACCTGCCTATAAAATGAGCTCACTCTCTTCACTTCAACATACACCTCAAGCAAGAGCTCTCTCGTATTCTCTCAAGTTAGTTTAGTGTTCTTAAGCTAGTGGAATAGGAATAAAGTAGAAATCGGAGTCCGGAAGCCTTCGGAAGAGTTCGGGTATGGCTCTAGTAGCTCTTCTCTTCTCTTTTGTAAGTTTTTTACTTTTATTAGAATACTCTTATTTATACAATTATGGTATTTGTCAGGGTTGTGGATACCACATACCTAATAGTAGTTGACTAAATCTCGGCAGGACCCACCACATACCATGTCTTATATGGAAACTGACCTCGGATATGGAGGGAGTTCCGGATAAGGAAAGACAACTAGAGTTCTACATGTAAACGTCAAGGACTACTCGGATTGTATCCATATTGGTTTTCTTAGTTCTACTTGGACATGGGGACACCTATGGGTATAAATATAAGGCCCCCTAGGAGGAGAGGACACGGAACAATAGATCAAGACACAAGATCAACATACAAGCCAACATGCGCCAAGACAAGACGCCGGATATTGACTTCAAAGATAAGCATGGCTAGTCCCCTACGGTATCTACGGATACTGTCAGGAGAGACATAGCGCTGTCTTTGATCTCGCCGGATGCGGATTCGAGGAGGAAGGCTACCCTGTTGTCGACTACGAGTCAGCACTTCAGATCGCCAAGTCGACAACAGTTAGATAGGCTACCTCAAATATTATACTGGTGTGATTATGGTGCATAAGAGCAACGACCGGCTTCAGCCAACCGGAGTAGGGTTATTACCTGACAATTCAGGGGCCCGAACCTGTATAAAATCCTCGCCCCCATCTCTTTTACCTCAATCTCGCATATATCCTAGTACCAATGATCCCCATACTATGCAAATACCGTAGTCGTGACATCAAACGTCGACAGTATTGAAATACTTTCCGAGTATATGAATGCGAATTTTACATTATGTTCGTGTTATATTGAATATACTGCTAGCTTATCTGGGAGATGCGTTGGTACGGGTATAATGTTTGGTTATGCAATTACTCTATGTCATGAAGATGATATTAGAGTAGTATCTAGTAGTTTAGGCGTGGTGTCTAGATTACGGGATATTATTATTTACGGTTATATGCTGCGGATGAGAGGTGGGCCGATGATAGTGATAGCTCAGTACGGGTATTCCTCCGCGTGTATATATAGTCCTAAGTTAATTTCCCGGGGAGGGTACTACTCCGCATTTAGCCCCGGTTGTATGGTCATGACGGGCTGTCGTAAGGAACTCGGCAGTCAGGGGTGGCTTCTCGAAGTACCAGGAGGGCATCGGATAGGGGGTATTAGCTACTATATCAGATAACTAGGATGTATATATACTATGTATATTTGAAGTATAGGAATAGATTCTCTTTCTGTTTTCTTCCCACTTAGCTTAAATATTTTAGTATGAGAATGAGTAGCTCCTTGCTTGTGTGTCACTCTACCCTTTGGATTTTCTTAACCCCTGCATAGACTATGATTATTACAAGTAACATATAAATTATTAGTCAGGTTCTCTCTACTATGATTTTTCCATGGGATTAAATAAATACGATACCCTTGGAATACTCTCGGGTGAAATGCTACAATGATATATCTGTGTGCTTGCGGATAAACTCTGTAACCATAATATACCAAGAGTATTTTTGCGCCATTGCTAGGAATTATATTTCTAGTAATGTCGTTAAGAAATACCAACAACAATGCAGCAACATGGCCATGGAAATAAAAAAAAATGAATCGATCTTTAGTCCCGGTTGGTGTTACCAACCGGGACTAAAGATGGCTCAACCGGCCACGTGGTTGAGCGATCTTTAGTCCCGGACTAAAGATCGATCTTTACTTCCGGTTTTTTCACCTCGGACTAAAGATAGCGATATTTAGTTCCGGATTGGTGATCCCAGTTGGAAAACCGGGACTACATGGGTTACAAACCGGGACTAAAGACGGTTTCTTCACCAGTGTAGTGGCCAGATTTATATCCATTATCTGAAAAAAACACACGTGCATTTTTCTCAACCGCAAAAACCCATGTAGTTTCCAGTTTCCTCGTACTCTCTCCCGGCAATAATTGGTGACTGCTTCCACTTTTAGCTATTTCCTGTTCACGGTTCCCCACATCTTTTGCTAGCATGCCCCTACCCATTCATATTGAAGCTCATAGAATAGCCCATTGCCAGAGATGAGGACCAGATGAGGAACCAACAATTACCATTTAAAACTCCATAAAATACAAAAAGGGAAGGGATAGTACGCACTTTGCTGAAGAGATGGCAGCTCCTTTGTTGTTATCAACAATCATTTTGGCTCTAGTGGTGGTAGCATCCTCTACTCATGGTACCATGGCCAATGGGGTATTCCAGGTGCGCCGCAAATTCCATATCGTGGACGGTGTGTACAAGGGGAGCGACATAGGTGCATTACAAACCCATGATGAGAACCGCCATCGTCGCCGTAACCTTATGGCTGCAGAGCTCCCACTTGGTGGCTTCAACATCCCATACGGCACTGGGTATGCTTCAATCATCTCTGCATTTGGTCATGTCTGTGTTTGCTTGGTTGGTTGGTTTGGTTATTAGGGTTAAAAAATGGATCTTGGCATAGGCTATACTACACGGATATAGGGATCGGGACACCCGCCGTGAAGTACTATGTGCAGTTGGACACCGGTAGTAAGGCATTTTGGGTTAATGGCATCTCCTGCAAGCAATGCCCTCACGAGAGCGACATATTGGTAGGTTTCCTTGTAGTGTTTCTTTAGTTTCAGTCCCTTAATTTGCTTGCAAAATTCTTTTGCAATTTAGGGTTTTTATTCATTATAGAAGTTGAAATTCTGGATTGTAATATGTTTTTGTTTTTGTCGTGGGTACGTGTATTTGCTTGTGTGCAGAGAAAGCTGACATTTTATGACCCTAGGAGCTCAGTAAGTTCAAAAGAGGTGAAATGTGACGATACAATATGCACTTCGCGACCACCATGCAACATGACCTTACGTTGTCCGTACATCACGGGGTACGCTGATGGTGGCTTAACAATGGGCATCCTTTTCACTGATCTTCTGCACTATCATCAACTGTATGGGAATGGGCAGACTCAGCCAACCAGCACCAGTGTCACATTTGGGTGAGTTATTAAAGAAAGAGCACTGCTACACGTACTATGTTTTTCTTACTAAATTTTTACTAACAATCATCTCAACTGTTTGATTTTGCTAAATGGAAGTTATAAAAAATCTAGATACACTCATAGCATGACATATCAATGTATTACAATTCGTATGTGAAATTTATTGATTTACAACTGAAGTGATCTATTGTAAAATGCCATTGATAAGCAATAGTTCAACAATATGTTTTCCATACGTGCAATACTCTTTCTTTTTTACCATCACATCATGGTTAACCTCAAATTCTGTCTCTAGTTTTTACAAAATGACCAAAATATCATTGAGAACACACATATACCCTTGACAGACTTCTTTTATTTTTTACAGTGACCAAAACACCTTTGATAACTCTGTTAAACCCTCGACAGACTTTCGCGAGTGCCTGTTGCAGTTTATGGTGAAATGAACTTTCCATTAGAGGACAACAAAGGCCCCTTAATGGTTAGTTCACAGCAATGGAGAAAAGGTAGAAAAATAACATGTATGATGGCATAACATATAACTCATATTTATAAAATCGAAACACAATAACCAAATCTACCAGAGAGTTGTGAATGGTACGAACACCAAAAACCAAAATGGAATAAAAATAATCCTCTAACCTTACAGAGTCCACGATGAAGTCTGGTGTGCACCGGTCTGACCGCTCTGATGCTGTCGGTCTGACCGGTGTAGAGTCGCCGGTCCAATAGCCTTGCTTCTCCCTTTGCCTGACACTGCTGGTCCAACCATCTAGAAGTCACCTGTGTGACCACTGTGCCGCCGCCGGTCAGACCTCAAGGATGCTACCAGTCTAACTACCGAAACAAAGTAAAATACAAATCAAAGAACTCTTTAGAAGTAAATCAACTTTATTGTTTCTAATTGTGCTCACAAAGTGTAACAATAACACTCATTTCTCAACTTTTGACTATACTCAAAATTTAGGCTAAACCCTTTTTTTTTTCAAAACTGTTATCTCACAGAATGGTACCAAGAGGCTCAACCCCTCTTTTATTTATACCTTGAAGTGGCTGCACAAAGCCACGAATTCAACTTGGATAAGTAGTTCTAATCTCATAGAAAACCTACCCGAACAAGTATACAACTTATCGCTTTACAAATCAAACTCCAATCTTTTCAAATTTGGATTCCTTCCAAATTTGAGTCATATTTGTTGATGGCATTTCATAGAGTCGAGTGGCTGCATGTTGATGGCATTTTATAGAGTCGAGCACTTGCATGCTGATGGCACTTACAATGTTCCTTTTCATACCAAAGGCATTCCATTGCACAAGTACACAGTAGGCAATCACTGCCGGTCTAACGGTTGCTATAGGCTAGCAGTGATTAACTATATATAATGCCGGTTCATGCTGGCTTGGATATTTTTTTCCCTACCAACCCATGTGTATGGGCTATGATAGACCTAGCATCTCTGTCGGTTCAGCAACTGGTAGTGATAGGTGAGGCCACCACTGCTGGATGACCTCATCTAGTTCAAAAACTGATAGTGATGCATTAGTTATGAATCGATGGTGATCGGAGTTTCCGTACTGGTATTGTTTTATTAAATCTGAAGCATTATTTTACTGCATCACATGGCAACAATTAAACCATACATATATTTTTTGTTCACTATTGTCTATAAGGTGGGTATGCTGTATTGATTGTCTTTTATTGTAGATATTCTTTTTGAGAAGCCATGCTATATAAGTTTGCCCACTTAGGACCTGCTTGAAATTGATTATTGACTGTATTTTTTTCATGGATTATCTGCTTTGATTATATGGATAGACAAAATATTTTCAGAAATATATTCAACAGATAGCTTAGAACAAGTGGTCCAATAAGTATACATGCAATAGAAGAATGTTCAATTTTAGAGGCGTTGAGCAAATCCATGGCTATAATCCAGCGAAGTAGCAGAAGAGACATGGCATAAGTTAATGCTCCTGTGGGGGGCTACCATTGGATGTTGCATCACACAACACACTAGTTCTTTTTCATATGAATGGTATTTTATTGCACTAGCACACATGAGCTAATCACTACCACCCATCACTACTGGTTGCCATGCATAGTGCCAACAATTATTGACTATTAATGCCATTTCATGCCAGCCGGGTTGGGCATTTACCAAATCTATGTGAATTCACTATGATAGCCTGAGCATCGCTGTCGGTTCGGCCACCGGTAGTGATAGCCGAGATCACTAGTGTCGGCTGGCCTCTGCTGGTTTAGAAATTAGCGTAGATGCCGGTGATGGGTTTTGTGTAAGTATTTTTATTTGCTTTTCATGTAAATCTCTGATGAACTCATCACATGACAATAACCGGTTATGGCGGTTATAGGTATATTTTGATATTTTCTATGCCTTGTTCTCCATAAGGTGGGCAGGCTGTATTAATTGTGTTTTATTATAGCTGTGCTATCTAAGAAGGTGTGCTATATATGTTGGCCCACTAAGGCCATGTTTGAAACAAATTATTACTAGTTTATTTTTGTGGATTACCTACTTGAGAAACAATCTTAACAAATGGCTTGGAAAGTAATCTAACCTATGCAGTAGAAGAATATTTTTTAGCAAACATATTTTTAGGGACGTGGAGAAAATCCGTGACAATAATTCGATGAAATGGCTCCCCTGTGCTTCTAGGTGTGGTTTACAACAATCTGGAAGTTTAAACAATTCAGCAGTAGCGATTGATGGAATTATTGGTTTTGGCAATTCTAATCAGACTGCGCTATCACAATTGGCTGCAGCAGGGAAGACAAAGAAAATATTTTCTCATTGCCTTGATTCCACAAATGGAGGTGGAATTTTCGCTATAGGAGAAGTGGTGGAGCCAAAAGTAAAAACAACACCTATAGTAAAGAATAAGTGAGTTAACCATGCACTTTATTATGTTTCTTTTATGGTCACAATTTAATTTGGCTCTACTTTAAATACATATATTTTTACCCTGGTTATAGCATCTTCCGGTATACTTGTTTAAGAAGCATTTATCAACCCCCCTAAAATAAGATGCATTTATCCACTTAAACATGAACTGTGTCAAGTGGTACATCTCTGGTACAAACGTTGTGAAAAAAATGTATGTGTTGTTGTTCTTGAGTGTTCTTATTAGGCACAATGTTTCAAAGTTTTGAATGCACATAGCTATGTGAAAATTTATGTTGGCTGTCTTCAACATGGACTGAAGGGTGCTCTTAGGCTGGAATCGCTTGAACCTTAAACTATAATTTTTAAAAAAGCTATTTATATACTTTAGTACATGATCTTGGCTCTCCACCAGTCCCTGTTGGATGTTAGGTTTATGACAAGTAGGGATATATGCATATAATATCAATTTGTATTGTAGTGCACGTATGCCTTCTTACATGTTGTAACCTTTTGAGAATACATGTCTTTCTGCGTGTAATCCAGACTCGTGGTTCCAACACAAAGACCATAACCAACCTTGTTTGGTTCTATTCTCGTTTCCACCAAACTAATGCTATTGTATCCATTTTGAATCTGTATAATAATCACTGGACCCAAAGCATGGATTTACAAATTTGAGGGAATATGCATAGTTTTTTATAGAAATACTTATCATGTTTATCTGCATCTTCTGAAAATTAAAAGCAACAAGGCATTTGGAACTTTTGAGCCCACTCACACACCACGCACACTAACTCACATCAATTCACGATTCTATCACATAGTGAGGTATATCACCTTGTGAACCTCAAGTCGATCAATGTTGCTGGCACAACACTTCAGCTTCCTGCCAATATTTTTGGAACGACCAAAACAAAGGGTACATTCATTGATAGCGGTTCAACCTTGGTGTACCTTCCAGAGATTATATATTCAGAACTAATACTTGCGGTATGGCAAAAGTACTGCTATTCTTTTCTAGTGGTAGAATTGTTTGCAATTACGTTTACATATAACTCTCAACCAATTGCAGGTATTTGCCAAGCATCCGGATATAACCATGGGTGCTATGTATAATTTTCAATGTTTTCATTTTCTTGGAAGGTATACTCTATAACACAAAATCTAGCTATAGTGCAGAGACATTACATTCACCAATGGACTAAATACCAGAAGATTCATAGGATTCATATTGAGTTCTAATTCAATCTTTTCAATGCCTCTGAATTCCGCTTTATCCATCAAATAACCCCAATTTGTTGGTACTCCGCTAACATTACCCTTGTTTTAATACCCAAGTACCCTATACATTTGTTGATTGTGAGGAAAACCAGTAATTCTCTAACAATTCCCATTGGGTCATAACCTAATAAAGAACGCTGCCTACTCAAACCGAAGCTTTGTTATGGACAATTTTAAGTCTTGAATAATACTCTAAATGGGTGAAGTTGCCCAAATTACCAAAACCTTAGAGTAAAAATAAAAATAAAAGAAACTTTTGCTTTTCTATATGAGTTTCAGACAAAATATAAGGTACGATGGAGAAGCAGTAGTGGAAATTGTTTTCATTATACTATTTACTCGGTAAAAGACACATAAACTGCTATTTCATCTGCTACAGCAGCAAAACCTATGTCAAAAGTGCAGTAAGGGTTTATTTAGAGGATTTCCTATTTCTTTTCGGATTACTTAGACTGCTCCATAGTTCTGAGGGATGGGGTATATTATATGCAACTTAGTCTTCAGATGGTAGAATATAATTATTCCATTTTACTTTGTGATTATTCTAACTATGTTGTTGTTTTCTTGTGCAGTGTTGATGATAAATTTCCAAAGATAACTTTCCATTTTGAGAATGATCTTACCCTGGACGTGTATCCATATGATTACCTTCTTGAATATGAGGTAACATGACATTTCACCCCCATGCTCTACCAAAGTTGGTATAAAAATTTGTTCACAAATTGGTATTGCCTTGTCTTATTACTTCTGACAACTTAACACTTCAAACTTGTCACGGCCAGAAAATACCTTTTCCGAATGCTAGTGTATTAATCCCCGTCGTAGGAAAATCCGGGGACACCACAACAGACTTGATACAAAAGACACATCTTTATTAATTATCACGATGATATTTATATTATTACATAGGCACATTAGGCCTATCAACAAAAGAAAAACAACAGCGGACTAGAGGACCTATGACTCCATCTTCACAAGCGCTCAACAGTGCTATAAGCTAGGACTCCACTTAAGACTTCTTCAAAGCTTCTCCGATTAGAGGATAAAAGATTAAGAATGAGTACAACCACCATACTTAGCAAGCCACACCAAGAAATGCACACATAATGCAAATGGGTACAAGCAATAATGATACATGTTGACTTTTGCTTAAAACCCATTTTTAAATAGTTTAGTTTTAAAACACATTTCAAAGCATGATCCTAATCTAGTCAATTTTTTTAGTCAAGCTGCACACTTGCACGTACTTGCGTTAACCCAGGCCATCAAATTGCAGTTCCAATCATTCCAGTTTAACTAAATAAAATCTCTAACTTGGGAACATTGCTAGGCTTGCCCATAACCGAGGGCTTGGCTATTCGAATAGATGATATTCTGATCATCCATGTCCTTTTGTTTCTGACCATATTAAGCTATGAGTTAAGCCTTGCCCACTAGACATGTGGTTGTAAGGAATATGCATTGTAACATAGGCCCGGGGACCAATCCTTATATATGATGGCCAAGGTGCGACTAACAGAACCAAGCACATTGAGCCCAACCTAAAACAAGTTTGAGAATTATGAAAAGAAGTCCAACATGTCCAGGCTAACAAGCCTCTAATCCACCATTAATCAAGATTATATGGTTATTCCCAAAGTCCAGATCATTAGAAAATAACTATATGTTTATGTTAGGGCATTGTTAAGCATAATCCTAAAATCTCTAGTAAACACCGCACATAGAGTTCTCACTAGATAGTTTTGGTTTTCTAGGGTTGTCAAAGGTAATTACTCAATATTCAATAAATAAGGCCATAACAAAGAATATAGGAAAGGCTAAGTAAAACAGTTATAACGCGATAAATTTAGTAAAGCGAATGCAAAAATTTAAATTAAAATACTTTCCGTAAATTGGGATTCAATAAGGAGAGCGTGACTTCCCTTGCTCAACGGAACAAACTTCCGAGACTTCAGCAACGAACATGAACTGCACGACTGGAATCTCCAAAATGACAACAACTATAGGTGACCCAAAACAAAGCCACAACTCTAAGAGAGAAATGATAACAAGACATAAAAACAACATACATGGGTAATTTAAGTTATAACAAAAGTTCAACTGGTCAATTTGGAGCTCATTTGGCCAAGAGAAGACAATCCAAAATTTAACTGTAGTTTAAATGAAGATTTCTGAATTGTTTAATTATTATTGTTCCCATAAATTATGTGTAACACAACATCGCTCGAGGAGAGAAAGGATCGAGCGACTAACAGCCAGGACCAACGGGTCAGACGGCTAGTTCACCGTGGATCAGGTTCACCGAGACGATGCACGGGAATAGAGCACCTACATGTAAGCCTCAAAGAAAAGACTGAAGAGTGGATCCCACATGATGCCAAACAAGCAGTCACGTGCGTCTAAACGCAGCTACACTTTACGTCAAAAAAATGCAGCTACACGCGGATGGAGACGACAACTGGTGACTGCGGCACATGACTGGTAGTCACCTAAGGCAAGGAAAATAGGAGGGAAAGAGCGGAAACCGGATTCTCACCACAAACATGGCGACATCCAAAATAGCGAGGAGGGAATTGTTGGTGAGGAAGACAATGGCGAGCTTGAGCAGTGACGACGGCAACTGGTCAACGACGAGGGGACAATGGAGGGATTGGTGCTGCAGACTTGAGGGAGGCGGTGGTGAGTGGTGACGTCGGGAAGCACTTGGACGAGGAGGGGACAGCGGCCAGAGGAAGATAGTGGTGACGTCATTCGGGTTGATGGCGGGGGTGCGTTCCGATGGTCTTCACTTGATGAGAAGGCACGGTTGAGGAAGAGGACGATGAGGGAATCGAAGACCGACATTGAAGGTAGACAAGTTAACGCAGTGGGGTGGTGCTCTGGCAAGGCTGGAGGGACTGCCGAAGGAGGAAGAAGACGGCGTTCTTCTCTGATCACTAGCAAGGATGAACTTCCAGCGATCTCCAGGCAAAATGGTGGGGTTGCTGAGCTATAGGAGGTTAATGCGTGGCCAGGGGTGGCGGCGCCGAGGTCTTCCATACGTGGCTTGGGTGGGTCTACGGGAAAGGGTGGCAGGAGCTCGCCGGTGCAGTCGAGATGGCAGGAGAGCAAGAGAGCTCGAGGTGGCTGTGAAAATGGATCGAAGGGAGGAAGACAGCGCCATTTTATAGGCTGGGAGAGGAAGGAGGGGAACGGTCGTGAGAGGAGCCACAGGCCATTAACAGCGACTATGAATTGGGAGGTTTCAAATCTGCGATATAAAGCCAAATTAATAGGGGGGAAAATATGACAGAATTGGAGAGATGAAAGTAGGGAAATGATTTTTGCAATCAATTTGGAGGAGAGACGTCTGGGGAGGCGGATCAACCTCGGTGGCAGTGCTAGTGCTAGCTAGGGAGAGGGGAACTGAATTGGCGGGTTGGAGGTGGAAGACGACGACGCAACGACTTCCTGGGCTGGCTGAGCCGTGCCCACCTAGGCCGAGCAAGGTAGACCCGGGAGAAGGAGGGGACTTTGCTCATGAGCCAACGGAGGAGGACAGGAAGCGGACTTTGGCTATAATCGGCCCAAAGAGAGGACATACTTGTTTTTAGGTTTTTTATTTTCATAAACTCTGAAATTTGTTTTGCTGCATATTTTAGGATGCTCTGAAAAAATCAAGGAAAAACTGAGGTGACATTTTAGAGCATGGAGAATTTAAGAAACATACTCTAAGCCACATTCAAACTTTTCTTGAACATGTTCTTGAACTTTTCTCAAACTATTATAGCTTTTAATTATTTCTATTATTCATTTTAGAATGTGATCTTTAATTTGGGATGAATTTATCAAGACATCACAAAAATGAAACATGAAACAATTATATGAAGCCAAAATAGTTCAAAGTCCAACCATGGATTTTATCCCATACATATTGCGGGCCACATCATGCGCTACATAGATATATGTGCTAGTCATATAATGGGTACCCATTAACAAACATTCGCTAAATTGAATATATATGTACTTCGTGTCATACTTTTTTTCTTCTTTGTACTGACAGAGTAACTTAGGCTCATCGTCATTGGCATTATAATGTAGAGAATTGTTTAATTAGTTACAAGAGAGATAAGAAATAATCTATATACATTAAATAGACGATGATATCTCCAAAAGTAACTGTACGGTTTTGAGTTTCACCTTCAGCTGTCAAATTTTAGTTCTTGTTTCGTACGTGAAGAGTCCCATTCTGAGATTCTCAATCAACTGACAGTTAGTTGTTTCAGTCATGCATGCTACTCTGTTTGGTATACATGCTTTTGTTTAATATTTTATAGTGCAAGTCTATAGATATATGTTCATCACACTTAGACTTGTTTGGAGCAGGGTAACCAGTATTGCTTTGGATTCCAAGATGCTGGAATACATGGATACAAGGATATGATCATTTTGGGAGGTTTGCATATATTGCTCTCCAAAAGAAAATTCCTTTTTCATATTTTTTTTTATGCTAGAGCCATTGCCCTGTTTTTTTTCAGACATGGTCATCTCAAATAAGGTGGTCGTCTATGACATGGAAAAGCAAGCCATTGGCTGGACAGAGCACAACTGTAAGTTTCAACTTGTTCAAATTTTATCGATAAATTGTTATATTCTGTTCTAACACCAGCGGTTGAGGAGGCATGTGGCGGTAGCGAGGGCCTCAGCCCAATAGGAAGGATGCATGGAGGCTTGTAGATGGAGGCACAGAATAAAGTCATTGGCTAGGAGTAAGGAGTATGAATTGGATGCTGAACTAGCTATGCCCCTGCATCTTGGCTGTTCTAGCCATGGCAAGGATAGTGTTACGGCTACAATTTAGGAGGTGAACGAGGTTGCGAAGGTTGTATAATTGTCAAACTAGTGGCCAAGGCCCTAGCACTCTAGGAATCCGAGGCGCCAGGCCAGTGTGAGAAGGGAAAGGAAAGAGAAAAAACTTTGTTTATCCCTTTGATTATCCTCCACAGTCCATCCCTTTTTGGGGTGGAGTTACATCCAAATAAGCCTTTTTGGGGGTGTATTTATATCCTTGGGTGCCCCTTGTCTAAATAGAACTAGGAAGACAAGTTTGGATACAATCCGACTAGTCCTTCTAGTGTCCAAGTAGGACTTTGCTTCTCTTTCCTTATTCGGAATACCTTCCGTATATGAGGCTTGATTCCGTACAAGACTTGGTATATGGTGGGCCCCGTCGAGCCTAACACTAAAATATCAGGTATGCCTTATCCTCCCCTGGTTGTTCATTTGGACTTGGCCACTCATGCCAACCTTCTTGGTTTGCAACGTTGATGGACATGCTCTAGCGCATGTGCTGCACATGCACCCCGAGACGAGCCTTGGCCTTCGTGAATAGGAAGCAATGAACCTAACCAGAATCCACCAAGGATTGTGGTGTGGCAATCGAATCTCGAGCAGCATGCTTTTCCCATCCGAAGATAGACCAAAATGGGGGGAGGGGGGGGGGGAGGGTCACCACTTGCTTCTTTACTCTGCTTTGGACTGAGTTTAGGCTTATGTAGGTGCCTGGGATTTGAAGGACGAGAGTGTACATATGGTGAAAATAGACGAACTATAGCTAAAAATACGGATTTAGTTCGGAGGGAGGTGGGAGGGGGGTTCACGACAGTGGTCGCTGCCACCGTGCTGCTGATTCCCCGGTCACAGCTTGGCTGTCCACCGCAATTGCACTGGCAGCCGACAATGTTAGTTTGGTCAACGATCATGACGCTGATGAAGTCGCTGACGTGCCCTTAGTCACGACGTGTGCAGTTGGTGGTTGTCTCCCCCAGATTGTCTAGCTTTTGATGACGGATGTCAATACTCATAACTTAGGGGATCACCAAGACCAATGATGAAGATTTGTTGCTGTTAGTCCGAAGTGAAACTGTGGCGCACCCCTTTCTGAGAAGTGTGGCCAGGATGGTTCGCCCTCCTCTTCCTCGAAGTGTATGTTCCAACATTGAGCATTGCCAATCATATGGTAAGAAGCCAGCCATAGAATGTCCTCCTCCATGACCTTGTGCCCATGGAGGAACTGCTCACATATCTTTAACAACGATAGTGGTTCCTGCTTGGCTGTCGAAGTCCAGGAACTCTGACTTGTTGACCGCAGAACACCACTACCACTGGTGCTCTGATCCATGTTTGGAACAAGAGACTCCTCTCCTGTACTGCTACCTGAGCCATGCTTGTCGATGTTTGGAAGGTGGAGAGCAACACCTGAGCCATGCTTGTCGATGTTTGGAAGGTGGAGATCGTGGCTCTCCAGTATTCGGTTAATGGTGGATAGATGCCCCCGGACTTCATCCATCTTTTGTGAAAGTGGAGCTCATGGTTGTCCTGTATGTAGATGATGGTGGACAACTAACCCAGGACTTCATCCATCTTGGCGAAGAGGGGTACCATGCCTTCAATTGTTAACATCGAGATGGTGGTGGCGAAAGAGTGCTCTGATACCAATATATTATGGATAGAATTTAGGTGGTGCATGAGGTTGCGAATGTTGTACGAGCGTCCAATAGGAGGCTTAGTCCCTAGTGCCCTAGGATGCTGAGGCACCAGCCGTGAGTGAGGACAAGGAATCATCATGCTGTGAACAACGTGCAAGGAAGGAGATAGTTTCTGCTTATTCCTTCTTTATTGTCCAATAGTACATCAAATTATAACCTAATTAATAGGAAATTACCAACTAGGGATATGACACACTAAAAGGAAACTTGATGGTGCACCCGGCGTGTTCTTGGACTGCTGCTTGCGACGGCGGTAAGTAATTATAACCCATGCCACATGGTTGAGGCCTTAACCCGTGCATTGAGGCCCCAATCACGTACACAATGGCCGCCCACTATTTGTAGGTCGGTTCAAGGGGCCAGCGAATGACCTTTTCTTAAACCAACTCTGAAAATTCACACCAGAGTTGAACCCATGAGCTAGTAGGTGCTACCATGCATAAAAGTGTAAATACTAGGCTGCATACCCATTCACAACGACGGTTGCCCATATTTTCTTGGAGGCATGCTTTAATGGGGATCTAACATGTGATCAACCGTGCACGGACGTGCTCCCCCCATCCCAACGCGCGGCTTCGCCCCCCTTCTCATATGGTTTTCAAGAAAGAATTTAATATATGTTTAGAAAAGAAAAAAAATACTAACAAAAGAAGAAAAAATCTGCTCAGACATATTCATGTGTATAAACTTTATACACATAAAATCTATGTGTATAAACATTCAATGAAGCTAAATTCGGTATGAGATATTTGAATCCATTTGTCAGACATTTAAAATTTGGTGTATAAACTTTATGTGTATAGACTTTGGGTGTATAAACTTTGATTGTATAAACTTTAGCTGTACAAACATTTCAAATAAGGAAAGCATGTGGAGCAAGAAAAGAAGGGGTGCCCAGAAAGAAAGGGCGACCTCCACACGCTGATACATGAGCATTGGCACGCCGAATTCGGGCTTCCTTGCCTTTGGTCGCCACCAAATAACAAAGAGAAAACCAATGTATGTCTAGAGTTTATTAAAAGGGATTGTTTAGATTCCTTGGGTGGCAATCCTATAGTTCTAATAAGTCCACTCTTAATTAATCAAAATAGAGTCTCTTTCATATGGATAAAAGGTCAAACAACAAATTCCAAACCTAAATATGACAAGCATTTTCAATTTCTAAAAATTTACAAAATTATATGTAGAAGTATTCAATAACTTGCAAAATCAAAAAAAAAGCAAGGATAATTCAGTATTTTGAAACATACGCACAATGACCTACAAATAAAAATATTCTTATTTCCTTTATAACAACAGACAATTTAATTTCGTTTATCTGAAACATTTTTCCTTCAATGGAAAAAGACGGAAGTTCATGATATAGTAGTTTCCGTCCTAGTTTTTATTGTGGACAATCTTGATTTGCATCTTAGCATTTAGCGTTCAAGTCAAGTAAACAGTACCAGTGCCTAGCAACACGAACATAAATAAAGAACCGAAGATACACTTCCATGACTATAAGTGGCACTTAATTTATTTAAGGAGAATAACATCATGAACTTGAAAAGATGGACATATAAGAGGATTAATAGCATGCAACAATAATAATAATGATGCACATATGGATTATAAAATAGTTAGACCGATTAAAAACATAAAATAGATATAGTGAATTGAATAGAGTAAAACTGCTGAATGATCACGCATAAAACAACTTCATGACACAATTACCTTAAAGATGGTAATAGCCCAAAGTCTTATCAGCGGTACTAGAACCCTTCAAACTTAAAGAACAAATCAAGTTCGAAACATATTACCTCTAGAATGAAAAAATTACCTCTAGAATGCTCAATATAAAATCTGAAAGCCCGAAAACCTGAATTCCGACAAACAAGCAAAACTATGTTTACTTATTATTCTGGTCATAACTTTTAAACCACTCAAATTATATATATTAATTTACAATGCACTATGTTGGCGAATGGCCTCACAAGTCCATGTAGGAGGCATCCTATCATGGAGGAGAGGGGAGGTGGAAGCAGTGGCTTGTAGTAGTGTCAGGGTACACTCACTGAGGCACATTCCTTTGGAGAATAAAACGATGCTCCACACCGCAGAGGAAACGGCATGGGGAGAGCTCAGTGAGGGCAAGCATCTCCAGGTGTTTGTCTCGTTGTTGGATCGGTACCTCAGACACGCAGCTGCTCACGTTGACACCATATCTGCACCATTGCTGGGCAAGTTTTTGCATCTGCATTGATATAAGGCTTATCGGCCGATCTCTTTGCCATATATGTGCCACAGCTGTCAAGCGTGACACACCACTGCAAGCTTATCGTCTGATATGTGCCATCAACATCGTCCTTCAGCCGAGCAGCCCTCGGCGCCACAGAGCTCATCAGCCCACTGCACAAACTCCATGGAGGGCTGCTCACGATCCGTCATCCGTGTTACCACAAGCCCTTCAATCGTGGGAGGGGACGGTGGAAGTGGGGAGGTGGTGGTGATTGGTGAAGAGTGATGACTCAAAGCTTTAAAGTAAATGAGGATGGCAGCATTCACAGTGAATGGAAGTAGTTGGAGGCGGAAGTGGCGATGGTGATTTGGGAGTAGAGGAGGACAACGACGGTCCAGACGTGTGAGGGTAGATGAGTATGCAGGGTTATGGTTAGGCTATGATAGTTTAAAAGAAAATTTCTTACCATATAAAACAGGAACCATGAGATGCTGAGCAGCGGTACAAGATTTGGAGCACAGCAAACTGGTTTGACAAACTTGGGACAACATATTTGAAGTAGTCAATCCTAGCAACTTGATCGTATCCTCCTCGCATGAATGTTTTCTCCTCGCACTCACTCGCTAATCAATGCCACAACATGGGCGGACTACTGCTATCCACACGTCTATGGGTGGAACGTTGTGTGCAGACACGTCTACCTACAGCTAGTGTTTGGCTCGTGAGTGCAGGGGCGGCTAGGGTTTATCATGATGGTTCATGTACTTGCATGTCTCATTTACCCCCTCAACCGTCGCCCTTGAATGAATAGAACTTCTAATTGGACCTCCAAGGACCATTAGGA